CTGTTTATTTTTTTTTGCCTAATTTCTGTATAATGGAGAGATTTTTTTCAGCACATTGCTAAACATTTTAATACCTCATTTCTAATAACTAATCTCTTTTATCCTTGTCATGATGATAGGTGAATAATATTTTACTAGATGTTTTTCAAGATACCTCTATACAGCTTAAAGTGACATTAAAAGGCTTAATTAGGTTAACTAGGCAGGTTAGGGTAACTAGGCAAGGTATTGTATAATGATGGTTTGTTCTAAAGACTATTAAAAATATAGCTTTAAGGGGCTAATTTTGACCTTAAAATGTGTTTTTTTTTTTTTATTATTAAAAACTGCTTTTATTTTAGCCGAAATAAAACAAATAAGACTTTCTCCAGAAGAATAAATATTATCAGACATACTGTGAACATTTCCTTGCTCTGTTAAACATTTGGGAAATATAAAAAAAGGGAAAAAATTTTTAAATGGGGGCTAATAATTCTGACCAACTGTATGTTATTTTTAATATAATTTATTCCAAAAAGTAGGACAGCACAATATATCGTTTCAGCATTGATGTCACATTGTGCGCATTCACAATAGTCACATTGCAAAGATATGTCAAGTCTGAATTATAGTTGACCAGGAATTGGCCACAGAATTGTATTTAATTACAGTATTTATGTGGGGAAAAAAATTGCTTAAAATTTTCGTCTTGTTTCCAGTCCAAATATCTACATTTCAAAGCGAAAGCAAGATTAATTAACCACTGGTGATAATTTCCTTAAAAAAAAAACAAAAAACTCTTAATTTTCATCTATTTCTTCTGACGATGAAAACTAAATATTTTTACTGTTAGTCTAAGAATTAGTTTTAATTTTTGGACCAGAAACCAGACAAGAAAAACGTTTTTTTTTTTTTTTTTTGCATTGTTATTCATTTCTCTACCTGAATGCTGTTAAACTAACCAGAAAACTGCCAAATAGAGCTAATCAAATTACCTTCTCCAACTGTATTCATCGCAATATTTATTGCAGAAAACAAAAAATATTGCAATATCAAATTTTTCCATTATTGTGCAGCCCTATCTTAATTTTAAGATATATTTTAAGCCCTTTTGTTCAGTTTAATGGAATGTAAGTTAAAATGACTCATAAAAGATGAAAGGCAACAATAGTTTGTTTACAGTGTGGCTGCTAATTGCAATTTTTTTGTAAAATGTACAAATAATTTGAGTGATTTACTGCAGTAAAAATAATGGCTATGAATTTTATCATATATACATTTTAAAAATAAACAAAACAATCCATCTTTTTAAACAAAGTATTTATTGTCAGCACACAGGCTTCAGTGGTAGTCATATTCAAAAGAAGTAAAGTTACTGGCACGTCCTCCATAATCACAGAGGTATGAACATGGTGCTTTCTATTTAAGCTTTACAAAAGGAGGGGCTTTATCTTGATCAAGTCCTTCAATTAGCAATAATGAGCGTCTTGATTTCCCACAAGACACAAAGCAATCAAACATCTCTAATTAGAAGCCTTTGATGTAAGCATAGTTTACAGCTCCTCAAACTAAACCCGGCTCCTCACCAGAAACTTGCTATCACAGAGAAAAATCACCATATTCAAAGTAAACCAAAGTTTCCTATTTGCAAACGTAGTAGCTTTTTTTTTTTTTTTTTTTTTTGGGGTCTAACAACACATTCTAAATATCACCATAACATTAGAATAGGAAATGAGCACCTGTATCTTATACCTGTACTAGCATGTCAGAATTTCGATGACTGACAGCTCCTTCAAATTCTGACAGGTCAGTTTTACTCGCGTCTGCCAGAGATGTGATTTGGCATCCTCTTCACGTAGCGCTGGTGTCACAGCGTGCATATATTAACCGCTGCCTGAGCTGCGCCATACTGCGTTTGCTGATATGTTTACCGCGAGAGCTGGCAGTGGCTGCCCAGAGATAAAAGGCTGAAAATACGCTGCGATTCAACATAAAATATTACTCTGCAGTATTCATTTACAGCAGGCCTTCACACACAATGCCGTTTCAAAGTCAGTTTCAAATCAAATTAAATGCTTAGGAAATAAATTGTAACGAAGAAAAAAAACTGCATAAGCGTCAATCATAGTAAATATGATTTATTTTTTAACAAAGTGACACTGCGAACAATGAGAACTGCCAGAAACAAGTACCTGTGTTTTTCCCTAGCACATTTCACACTAAAATAACATTAAAACACATTTAAATAAACTGACTCCCAATGTTCTACTGCCTTACTTTTCTGTGCGCACCGCTTTTCTGATGGTGCTGCATAAAAAAAAGAAGTTTTATCATTTAAAGAAAGAATTGGGTCACATTCAATACTCTGATACATACTAAGGATTACATTGTGTTACTTCTGGGAGAAAAAAATGAAGTAAAAAAGATGACAATACTTACCCTGATTCCTCACATGCAGATGAGATGTAGTAAAATTCAATCACTTGATGCTGTCAGTCATTTTGTGATCATCTTTTTAGTGGTGTGATTATTTTATATTTAGTTGTGCGCTGCATTTTTACAACCTACAAAGTACATGCTTTTTTATTACGAGAGATGAATGTTGAACAATACATTTTTATTCACTTCAATGAATATTCCAGCTCCCCCGACAGCATTAGTGGCATAATGTCAGTTATACAACCTATAATTCTGTACACAGCTGGGAAAGTAAGTATTGAACACGTCACCATTTTTCTTAGAAAACATATTTCTAAAGGTGCTGTTGACTAGAAATTTCCCCCCTGATGTTGATAACAACCAAAGAAATCCATATATGCAAGGATAACAAATCTAATAAGTTTACAAATGAAGTTATGTGTAATGAAATGACGCAGAGATAAAGTAATGAACACATGAAGAAAGGGAGGTGTAGAGAGGCAGTGAATGCCCAGACAGTCGCTAAAATCTCTCAGTAGTTAATCAGCAACCCTCTGCTCATCATCATAGTAAATGAATATTAGCTGCTTCAGTACAACATCTACATTATTAGGATGATGACGATGAAATCAGGGTGGCCAAGGAAACTAATAAAACGTAAAAATGGTTTCAGAGAAAGAAAAATTCAAGCTGTAGAATGGCTCAGCCAATCACCTGACTTGAGTCCAATATAAAATACAAAATAAGATCAGATTTGTAGGATGAGACCCAGAGAACCATCAAGATTTTTACACGTGAAAAACTCACACGTGAGCAATTCATGTGACTTCATTCTCCATATGAGAGGCGTCTTTAAGCTACCATCACAAAAAAAGCCTGTTATATACAATAAGTATTAAATACGTTTCAGTACTTCAGTATTTTCTCCTTGTGTCATTTCATTGGTTTTACAAGTACCAATTTTTTTTCCACAATTATTTGTTTTTGTTTAATTTTTTTCTTTGTATTGGTTGGGTTTTACCAAAATCTGTTTCAATTCCATGTCAACAGGTCCTTTATATTATTCTCAGGAAAAAACATGACGTGTTCAATACTTATTTGCTGGGGCGTTTTCAATGGAAGTGAAAGAAGGCAATTTGAGAAAGAGCTTTAAGAAGCGTATCGTTTTATAAAAGCACTTTCTGTTAAGTGTACTATTTGACCTTTAAATCCATTTAAATCATAAATACTTTTATTTTAAGGTTGTAAGTTCTTGCCTAATGAGAATAAAAATCAGCTTCTTGTAGATGAAATGGTAATAATATGATTTTGCATGATTATCAGATCATAAAGATTTCATTGCTTATATATATACATAATCTGAATCACACGTAACTGTCACCCTTTGACGTGTGCAGCTCAGGGTGTGTTTTCAGTGTGTTGTTTATTAATGTGATAAACTGAACGGCTGAGTATGATTTATAAGTTGTCAGCAAAAAAGAATCATGTCAAAAAACACTTGCTGGTTGTATTCCACTAAATAAGTTCTAAAGTGTACATCTGGATGCAAAAACCAAACATATTGTTATAAGCCCTCTTGTGAAATAGTTTACTAATTTCTTTTATCTTTGCCATGATGACAGTGCATAATATTTTTCTGGTTATTTTGCAAGATGCTAGTATTCAGCTTAAGGTGGAATTTAAAGGCTTAACTATGTTAAGTAGGTTAACTAGGCAAGTCGTTGGATAACAATGGTTTATTCTGTCTCAAAATAAAATATTTTCTTAACAACGCTAATAATATTGACCTTAAAAAATGATTTTAAAAGTTTTAAAATCTCTTTTTTTTCATCTAAACTAAAATAAATAAGGCTTTCTCCAGAAATAAAATATATATAATGAGATATATTTGAAAAAGAATTATAAAATTCATAGGAAGGCTAATAATCACACCTTCAACATTGTATACATGTTGTCCCATTATCAGTAGCAGTCAAATAGTATGCTACAAAAAGCAAACTTTATTTAAACTTATCTAAAACTTAGCAAATGACCATAAAATAAGCATGATAATCAATGGCTTGCCATGCGTTAAAGAACTTCAAGTAGGGTTTATTTATAAACTATTTTCGAGAGGACCACATGCTTATGATTGCTTGCAGCCGGCCTCGCATTATTCAATTCATGATTCACCAATCAGACGATTCCTAAGCCACTATAAATACCCCAAGTTCCATATAACAGTCATCTTTGTTTTGAAGAATACACCTTTAAACCCCTACTTCTCCTCCTTTCCTAGATGGGTGGCACGGTGGCCCAGTGGTTAGAACTTTTGCCTCACAGCAAGAACGTCACTGGTTCTAGTCTTTACCAAGACAGCCGACGTTTCTGTGCGTAGTTTACACATTCTCCCGTGCTCACGTGGGTTTTTCCCGGGTTCTCCGGTTTCCTGCCACTGTCAAAAAACATGCAACTTAAGTTAATTGACTAGTCCAAATCGGCACCATAGACATGCTCCTAGTAAGAAGTTATCTCTTAAGAGCAATCACTATCTGTTCATTGGTTACAGGGGAGTTCTCAAGATCTACCTGAGCTTAAACTCCCCTCTCGCCTTGCAATCAGGAGGGAGCCACGGACTCGAGGATCTTATGAGCTCAGGGCTCTCTCCCGGGACAGCATGCCAAACGAGCTTTATAATCAATCATCAGCTAAGTGTGAACTCTTGAAATGCACTTCACGGAGGTTCTTTGCCTCCACATTGTGCACTTAAAATCCTTCAATGCATGGCAAGTTATTGACTATCCCCTACAGTGCATATATAATATCTAAGTTAGACTACTATTGTGGCTTGGGCTTAGTTAAGAAGATATATTATGTCAAATCAGCACTTTAAAAATGTCAAATTTGGGGCAATATTTAAACGCAGTCAATATTTGCTTGACTAGACAAAAATAATATTTATATTATCAATAGCTTAATTTCTTTGAAAGTGAAATTAAAAGTGAAATTTAGCGAATGAAATGTTCCTCAGAGAGGTAGACTGTGCAAGCTTTAGGAGTGCTGATTCCAGATTGGCTCCATTCACTTCCATTATAAAGGCCTCGCTAGAGCTACTATTTCTGAGAATAAAATAATAGAATTTTTGTGGAAAATCGACATTATACCACAGCCATAGCTTAACGTTCACTGATTCGGGGAAATATTCCTTCAAAACCTTCTGGAGGAGAACGTGGAATGAATAATCCACATAAGCCACACAAATACAGGCTTAGAGTGTGTGTTTGTCCTTCAGTGATCCAGCAATCCTCCACACACTCCTGCCTCAAACTGTAATGGGCAGCTGCCAGACCATCAGCGTATTTTCACTGGACTCTGCCGAGTGTGAGGAATTAGCTAAGCGACGGAACCCTTTTCCACCGGATATAACCGCAGCAGAGGTCACCTTCTCCCGACGTCCCGCTTCCTTAGATGTTGTCCCAGGCCCTCGGACCCAAACCTCAGGATCATCGCTTAGCTCATAGATGGAGCCATCCTCCAGGCTGTGCTCCACAGTGTGCTGGGCTGAGTCTGGTGTTTCTTCAGGCTGCGCCGTCAGGACTTTTCCTGGGAGTCTGGAGGTGGAGCGAAGGTGGTATTGCAGAAGGACGCCTTTGCTTTTGGCTTCTCCTTGAGAAGTGGCGTCCGCCTGCTGGAGCGACTCCTCAGAGGAATTTGTCGCCTCCTTTTCATCACCTCCGCTATTTGAATCCACATTGTCCGTTGCAGAGTCACGCTTGAGGAAATCTTGGGGTAAAACACTGGAAGTGGCCAATAGGAATTCGACAGGGCCATTGTGAGCGTTGAGTGAGGTCATTCCTTTTCCTGATGGGGAAAGAGGGAGGGGTTGTGTTTGTCAATATGAAGGAGGATTAGATGTAATGGCTTGTTTGTTTGAATTGCGTCTCACCTGTTATTTTTGGGATGCCCTCCAGTCTGGGTACTGGCAAGGTGACAATAATACCCTGAGCTGTGCCAACCCAAAGCAGACCCTGGCAGATGAGGAGGCTGCTTACACACAGGTTGGGCTTTTGAGCTGAGAACAGAATATGATATCTTGTCATTTTTTATATTCTTATTGTTATTTTTCTGTATGTGTGTGCGTGTGACCCAAGAAAAAAATATATAATAAATTGTCACTTTTATTTCATATTTGTTTTTGTTTTTTTAGTATTGTTTACATTTTTGTCATTATCAATTTATTTAATATTGTTTTATTTTTATTGTCTATTTTCAGTTTTTAATTTTTTTTTTAATTAAATTTCATTTATTAATTTTCTTTTTTTCTTCTCATTCATTCATTCATTCATTCATTCATTCATTTTCTTAATCCCTTTATTAATCCGGGGTCGCCACAGCGGAATGAACCGCCAACTTATCCAGCACATGTTTTACATAGCGGATGCCCTTTCAGCTGCAACACTTCTCTGGGAAACATCCATACACACTCATTCACAGACATACACTACGGACAATTTAGTGTACCCAGTTCACCTGTACCGCATGTCTTTGGACTGTGGGGGAAACCGAAGCACCGGGAGGAAACCCACGCGATCTTAGGGAGAACATGCAAACTCCACACAGAAACGCCAATTGACCCAGCCGAGGCTCTAACCAGTGACCTTCTTGCTGTGAGGCAACAGCACTACCTACTGCACCACCGCGTCACTTAAATTTTATTCAGTTTTTTCTTTAATAATTCTTTTTTTTTGTATTTTGCATGCAGCTCCCAGTTTTACAGAGAGTTCACTTTACATTTTTTATATAAGAAAATGATAATTTGTCACATTTATTTTTAAATCATATATATTTTTATTGATTTAATTAAATTTATCGCATTCTTATTTAATTAAAGATATATTTTATTGCATTTTTATTTGGCAGCTTCTTGTCAGTCTAAGGTCACATTTTACTATTTGGGATGTAATTAGCTTCATATTTTGTTTATAACTTTTGTTTATATAAAATTGTTTATTACATTGTTTAATATATAGTTTAAGTCACAATTTTAGTCCTCCTGTGAATTTTATTTCTTTACTTTTCTTTTTCTTTTCTTTTCTGTTTTTAAGCAAGGAAATTTTCATAGTGTGTCTGATAATATTTTTTCTTCTGCAGAAAGTCTTATTTGGTCTACAATATTTGGTCTTTAGTCTTATTTTGACTACAATAAAAGGTGTTTTAATAAATTAAAAAAAACTTTTTAAGGTCAATATTCTTAGCCCTCTTGAGCAATATTTGGTAACACTTCATTGTTACACAATAACCTAATCACCCTAACATGCCTAGTTAACCTAACTAACCTAGTTTTTAATTGCACTTTAAGCTGAATACTAGTATCTTATAAAATATCTAGTAAAATATTATGTACTGTCATTTTGGCAAAGATTCAATAAATGAGTTATTAGTAATTAGTTATTAAAACTATTATGTTTACAAATGTGTTAAAAAATCTTTCTCTTAAAAATATACAGGGGAGCTAATAATACTGACTTCAACTGTATATTGTTACTTCTTTATCTTGTTAATAATTATTTTAGGAATTTTATTTCACTTTTTAAATCAAATCAAATGTAATCATGTCAGTATTTTGTTCTGCCAGAAGCTTGTTCAGTTTTAGACAGTGAATCTACTTGACTCATGTGCCCCTTTTATGGCCTGAGTGCAAAACCATTGAACTACGGAAATAATATCCTAGCCATAATCACATGTTGGACTTGCCAGAGCTGAAATATGCAGAGGGTGTTGAAATGTTGATCTCCTGGAGGTGTTCCAGTGTTTCAGTGTGAAACAGACGTAGGGATGATCCCTCTGAAAATGCCATCCACACCCCTCCTCCAGCACGCACCATGTGGGTCACACTAACCATAGGGTCTGGATGAACTTCAAAACTCTGAGAATCATAAAAGATACAAAATCATCATGAAAACGCAGAAAAACAAGAAAGAGCAAGAGGAATTGTAGATTTAGAAGGAAAGGAGGAAAAAACATCAAAGTTTAAGCCAACTCCGTGGACTGTAGTGCTCAAAGTAGGTTTAATTCACAGTCAGAGAACATTCTGCCTAATTAAAGTCTGTTTGGGCATGAGAGGATAGACACTTTACTGCACAGTGCAGAATGGCAATGTTTCATTTCTAAGTTTAATGTGTAAATAGTCCACTTAAACCCACTAGAAATGAATTGGAACTAGTTGATTTAATTCATAGCCCCAGTAATATGAGAAAAAAGAGCTTATAATTACAATATGCATGAATATATGTGTATGTGTATGGGCGTCATGGTGGCACAGTGAGTTGCATGATCGCCTCACAGCAAGAAGGTCGCTAGTTCGAGCCTTAGCTGGGTCAGTTTCCGGTTTCCCCCACAGTCCAAAGACATGCGGTACAGGTGAATTAGGTAAGCTAAACTGTCCATAGTGTATCAGCTATGGACAGCTGATTTGAATGTTATCACTCAAATTAATGAGCATTATCAGTGGTTATCATCTGATAGACATGGGCCAGTAGGAGCCTTCTGTGCATACTAATAGGTTCAGAAGGCTGTTATCATCCATCCACATAGTTAATCATCTATAGATCAGATATGGCTGCGCCCGGGAGTTAATGAAAATTATTTATTTTTTAAATATTATTAATTATTATTAAATTTCCCATAATTGTATTTTATTAATGTCTACCCCTACCCAACCCTAAACCCAACTGTAACATTAATGTAAAAACACATCTGGATCTGGAGTTTTCTCTATTAGTATAGCTGGTTAACCATGCGGATGGATGATAACAGCCTTCTGAGCCTACCAAACATTTCTATTTTGATATGCCTACTTATTAAAATATATGTAATAATTAATAATCATATTGTGTTATGCTCTAAAAATGCTGGGTTGCAGTAACCCAGCATTGGATCAAATATAGACAAACTAAAGCTTTTGTTCATTTTTTTTAAATTAAATTTAAATGACAATTGTTTTTTTTACCCAATGGTTGAATTTGCCCATATTTGACCCATATTGGGTTACAACTACCCAGAATTTTTAGAATGTATATTTAAATAATTGAAACTTGACATAAATATGTCTGACACAATTTTTGTTATAAATGAATAAACTATTAAAACCAGGGAGGATACTTTATAAAGCATAATGTAGTAAAAATGAATGATAATCAATATTTTGTGCTTAGAGGAGATACAATTATATATATATATATATATATATATATATATATATATATATATATATATATATATGTGTGTGTGTGTGTGTGTGTGTGTGTGTGTGTGTGTGTGTGTGTGTGTGTGTGTGTGTGTAATATAAAAGCTGTGTGCCATTTTACTTTCATATACATCACTTTCATATACATCTGATTAATTATAAACTATATTTGTTGTCCAAAATAATGTTTTGTACCCATCAATAGTTAATATTTAATTGAAAAGCCACATTAATTAACATCACTCATTGTTTTCTACACATATAAATTCAGTGTACCTGTAGGAGCAATCTCCAGCAGCTAAATACTGACAAACACATTCTGTAAAGATGCAAAGAACTACTGACTCGCAAATGTAAACAGGCTGACAAGTCCATATGCGCACCCACATCTTATCTTCCGGTTGAACTGAACTTGCAACTTCCCGAGCTGAATTTAATCCTGATATTAAGCATCAGGAAGGCAGAGGGAGGGTGCGTTCCTTGCGGCAAAATAGAGAGGTTGGCTCAGCTGTCAGAAGTGATCAAAGGAGAGCACCCTAACATGCTGTTGGGCTTCTACAGGGAGGATACCTTTTATGTGTGGCTTAAGATGCTCTCTCATAATGCATCAGGCACTGGAAGCCGTCTTAACCGGGAAACCAAATGTAAAAGTCTGAAATAAAAGAATCATTTCAAGCTTTGCTAAACCGACCTTTTGTTACGGAAGAGATCTTTGATTGAGACGGGACGAATAACTCTTTTGACTCAAAGCAGTTGCGCAGTGCGTCTGAAGACGGTAGAATCACATTGAAGGCATTTTCATTTCGCCTACGCGTTTTTTTATGTCTGAAGTGTGAGTGTCTACCTGAGTCCTGAGAGAGGAGCCCTCAATCACAGACACCTGGTTGGCACAGCTGGCCCACACACACTGGTCGATTCGGAGCAGCTTGAGGATGGGCGCGTATCCAATAACCACATGTCTGCAGGAATCTGGATCCCACAGGCCTTCTGGAACCGCAAAATGCAAGCTGGAATTAGAGGTGCTACTGGAAACGGCTAATATTTGCACATATTTCACAATGTAGCATTAGATTCTGATACAGACTATTTAAAACAAAGAGAATTTCTAATATTTACTTCTATTTATATTTATTTTCAATTTCTTTAATTAGTAAAAAAAAAAAAGCTTTTACTATGTTATCATAAGCACAATAAAACATTAATAATATGTGGCATTATTACTGTATAGATGCAGGAAAACATACAATTGAAGTCAGAATTATTAGCCCACCGCTGATTTTGTTTTTCTTTTTAAATATTTCGCAAATGTTAATTAACAAGGTCACACTTTACAATAAGGTTCATTAGTTAATGTTAACTAATGCATTTACTAAGATGAACAAACAATGAACAATACATTTACTACTGTATTTGTTCATGTTAGTTAACGTTAGTTAATGAAAATACAGTAGTTCGTTATTAGTTCATGTAAACTCATGGTGCATTAACTAATGTTAACAAGCATGGACTTGAATGATAATAATGCATTAGTAAATGTTCAATTATGATTAATAAATGCTGTACATGTGTTGATCATGATTAGTTCATGTAAGTAAATGCATTAACTAATAAAACTTATTGTGAAGTATTTCCATTAACAAATACAGGACATTTTTTTCTTCTGGAGAAAGTCTTGTTTGTTTTATTTTGGCTAGAATAAAAGCAGTTTTTAATTTTTTAAACACCATTTTATGGCCAAAATTATTAGCCTCTTTTGGGCAATTTTTCTTTTTTTCAATAGTCTACAGAACTAACCATCGTCATACAATAAATTGCCTAATAACCCTAACCTGCCTAGTTAACCTAATTAACCAAGTTAAGCCTTTAAAAGTCACTTTAGGCTGTATAGAATTGTCTTGAAAAATATCTGGTCAAATATTATTTACTGTTATCATGGAAAAGATTAAATAAATCAGTTAATGAAATGAGTTTTTAAAACTATTATGATTTGAAATATGTTGAAGAAATCTGCTCTCCATTAAACAGAAAGTGTGGAGAAAAATAAATAGGGGGGATAATAATTCAGGGGGGCTAATAATTACAACTTCAACTGCATGTGAACCTAGTAGTACAAGGTCTTTTTTTCATTAAAGGGGTACTTTACAGTAGCAGTATATAATCAAAGTAAGATATATGAAAAAATAACATGATTTTCTATACATGAAGCATGAGCACACATTGCTTTGCATCTTATAAACACAAGCAAGCCTTAAGTACACCCTGGACTACCCCTTTAAAGTAGTACAAGTTCTGAATTAATTGTATTTAATTGACTTTTCATAGTATGAAAAGTATTTCATAGTTTTTCCAAAGAAAAAAAAAATGATACCATTTTGGAATCAAACAAACACCATTAAAAAAACTAAGTAAATTCACAGAAGGCCATTAATGAATTTAGCTGGTAGTTTCAGACATGGAAAATGCAAATGTCAAGTTCATTATCAATGAGGGACATGCAGAAAGCAGCAAATTACAGATTTAAATAAAAGGGTTTTGGGGAACTAACCTCGTAGGCTAAAATGGTTACTATAAGCATAATAATTAATGCCTACATTTATATAGCGCTTTTCTACACAGTCAAATCACTTTACACATTAGGGGAAACCTCCTCATTCACCACCAGTGTGCAGCATCCACCTTGGTGACACAACGTCAGCCATATTGCACCAGATTGCATGTGTAATGTGGACAAATTATGATATGGTGATGGTTAGGAGGCCATAATGGACAGATTCTTGTAGGCAAATTGGGACAGGATGCCGGGGTTAAACTCCTACTCTTTTTCAAAGAACATCCTGGGATTTTTAATGACCACAGAAGCAGGTCGCACACCAGAAGCGCCGCTCGGCGGCGCGCAGCGCAGCGCCACGCCGCGCCATGCATTTTAGAATTCTAAACATAGGTTTTTATCAGGATACACACACCGGCGTCCGGCGACGGCTCAGGATGCAGTTCATTTTTCAGCCGCGCCACAGAGCGCCATCTGATTAGTTTCATGTTAAATATCATTCGAATGTGCGCGTCTGGTGTGCGATACTTTAAACTGTCATGTACGCGCCGTGTCACGGCGCAGAGTGGCGCTTCTGGTGTGCGACCTGCTAGAGAGTCAGGACCTCAGTTTAACGGCTCATCTAAAAGACGGAGCTCACTGAACAGTATAGAGTCCGCATCAATACACTGGGGCGTTAGGGCCCACACAGACCACAGGTTGAGCGCACCCCTGTTGTTCTCACTAACACCACTTCCGGCAGCAACCTAGCTTTCCCATGTGGTCTCCCATCCAGTTACTGTTCAGATGCAACTCTGCTTAGCTTCAATGGGTGACCATATGAGGGTTGCAGAGAGCTAGCTGCCGGCCATTTTTTGAAGAAATATCCGAAAGCCAAAGGTCAATGCCTCAACCTACTAAGCAGTGCAGCTTTTGCAGATTGTATGAAATGATGAATGAGATAATAAAAATGTATATAAATTAGTCATCAGTCTCCATATTTACTAACAGCTTGGCAACTCCAGGTCAAATCCTCTTTTGGCGTTAAAAAATAATGTACCGATGTGTAATATTTGTTCTGAAAAAGGCATGGAAAAGGTGATTTTATTGCTAATGCATTTCTAAATGTTTTTCTTTCAGACACAATATTTCAATTATGCAATACAATTGAACAAGTTTTGCAATGGTGAATAAGCATATATACCATTAAAAAAAGCAAGTCAGCAGTTTTGTGCTTGACATCTTTTATCAGTAGGTTGACCTGCAGAACTTTCCATTTCCATCAACACTTTTACAAGACTGCACTCTCATGTTGACTTGTTTTAATTATTAAATCCACAAATTTTCAAAGCATAAAAATAGATTCAGTAGTTAAAAAACTGCCATCGTTTTTTGTTAAATAAACTTGAAAATCAGCTATTAGATTGGACTGAAGGTGTATATGAAAAAAATAGTTTGGATGTTCTGACATTGCTACTAGCAAAAAGATTCTGTGGACAGCCAAATGTTTTTGAAAGTTTTCAGAAGCTCTTTAGAAAAACTGGGATGGAGCGACACCATGGGGCTTTCAGCCTCGGGGTCTACGCAGCGTACTCTCACTGACAGAAAAATTACTTCCCTAGCTTATCAGGTCATTTTGCAGGAGGATGTAAGGTCATCTGTTTGTCAACTGGAACTCAAAAGTCAAATGATTCAACAGGACAGTGTTCTCAAGCACAAGGCTCTACATCGCCAACAAAAACAGCATCTGATGTGACCCAGTCCTGACCTCAATCTGACTGAGACGCTTTTGCTTGATCTCAGGAGAGATGTTCAAAAATACTGCTGAACTCAAGTCAATTTAGAAAGAGGAAACATTTTTTAACCCAGCCCAGTGAATCTTTATATTGTCAATCTAATAAAGATGAAATGATTTTGTGCTACTTCTTTAAGCAGATTTGTCTTTTATTGAAAATTAGATGCAATTTTTATTAATGTTGCAGAAATAAGTTGTTGCAGGGTGTGTATACTGTGTATATAAACAAAGGTGGGTTTTATTGTACAAACCAGTAATATACAAATCATAACCAATAATAGCCAGTCACTGAGCAATAGAGGAATTCATTTATTTGATGAGACTTTTCTCCATTCCATTTTTATTGACCCCTCACCAATCCCACAGCATGGTATAAACTCAATATGTTTAGGGGAGATGCCATGTTGAGCTCAAGTCATTTATAGGTTAGATTTTGTAATATTTGAGGTGTTTTGTTTTATGGAATATTTTCTTTTTCTCTTTTTTTAGATGGCACTGCCTCTTATTGAAGCCCGTTTCCACTACTGATTAAAAAAGGTAATTATTACTTTTTATCTCAAAATAATTATCAAATGACTTTTTTGCAATTTTTACATTTAAAATAAACTTGAAACTTTTTGTTATAGTGAGAATTTTGAGATATCAACTTACAATTGCAGAAAAAAATGGTCTTTGTGGTTTAGAATTTAAAAAAGCTACAAAAGTCTTTCTTACCTTCTTAAAGGTCCCATAAAGTTAAAATAAAGTTTTTTAAATGTTAGTATCAGTATTGTTTGTTTTTAGGATATCTATATGGTAGTGTGCTCCAAAGCAGTGACAAAATTTGCATTAAGAGCATATAAAATTGATAAAACCATGTAAGGGGCCGATCACACCGAACACACTTTTAGCGTTGACAGGCGCCTTTTTTGAATGATTTATTAATGGCCACAAGCGTTTTGCGTGCTGCTTATGCACCATGTGTGCCTCACATTATAACCACCTGCTATGCCTCGAAATTTTTGCTGTTGCGCGCTGAGCTCGCAGTTGAAAAACAACTCTGAGCGGAAAAACCGTGTTACATCAGTCGCGTCTCTTTTATTCTCCAATCAAATGGAAGCAGATGTGGGGTTTCTGTTGAGGTGACAGTGTTTCTGTTGTCAAGACGATTACAGAGATTTTTGAAGAGGGAGGAGAGACTAGTGGTTTCTTTTTTGAGTTGTCCGGAGCTGTATAAATCACACAATATTATTAAATATTAAAATAATACCAATATCAACAGCAACACTCGCACACAACAGGCAGCTGAATCAGTCGTTGCCTAGTGACATAAAAAGGCACACTGCGTTGCTTTTTTTGTCAACAAAAAAGGCAGTGCACCTCGTGTATTTAGAATGTAAAAGTGCATACAGTGTCATTGGCCCCTAAGGCTTATTTGTCGCTTCCGCCTAAATGGATCAACGTTTTTTTTTTTCACGTGACTCCATACTTTTTTTTCATATGTGTATTTAAGCTTTATAAGTTTCTTATCTAATCGTGACCACTCAAATGCTCTTCACATTTGGTGTGCTTGAGCTCAACTACCCTCACTGGCAGAGCGTTGATAAAGAAAATGCTATTGGCTGTTTTATAAAAAGGGGCGAGGCTACACTATGTCCCATCCTCTCTTCGTGTTTTGGTTGAGATTGTGCCAAACATCGAATAAAAATCCTGCATCTGTAATCCTAAAGTGAATCCAAAGTACAAAATATGATAATAATAATAATAATAATAGTAATAATAATAATAATAATACATTTTATTTTTAATGCACTTTTCTAAAACCCAAAGCCCTACAACAACAGAGAAATCAAACATGCAATAAAATACAAGGATACCTAGCAAAATTCTAAAATATCAACACATTAAAATTATCCAGAATCATAAAAATGATAAATTAAAATTATATTATTTAAATTATAGAATTATATTATTTAAATTATAGAAATTATATCAGAAAGTGCAGATTCTGTAATCATTTACTCAACCTGATTTCTTCTGTCGAACACAAAATAAAATATCGGAACATTGGTGATAACCAACAGCTGACCAAACCTTTTCTTATGCTTCTTTAATGAAAAATCCTACAGTTGTGAGTCAAAATAAGAGTGAAGTGATGTCTGAGTTTTTGTTTTAAGGTAAACCAGCCATACATTTGCATTAAAATTGTAATTTTCATACCTCCACTTTTTCTGTTGTAAACTGCAACTTTTCCATTACTCAGCCCAGCGAAGAGAAAGTTGCCTAAGTGTTTCAGACACAGAACGTGGCAGCGCTCGGGGTTACAGAATGTTAGCAAACACTGAGCAGCGGTGTCCACACTCCCATAAACCATGATGCTAGAGAAAGCACACACACGCACACACATACATAATCAAAAGCTTTGCCTGAAAAAATAAGCAAATTAATTCAGCCTTTCTGCATCGAATTAGCAAAGTAAACAAATTTTTCCACACCAGTACAGGTACGTATATGCACAATGACTCACTTGCCATCCAATAATCCTACACAGATGGTGTTGCCGATCTTGGAAGGAACTTCAGAGGCCTGAGTTTCTTGTTCTTCCTCGGTGCTGGGCTCTGTGATATACTCCAGACAAAGCACCTGGGAACCGAGAGAGAAACTCTTGACGGAGCGTGGAGTGGGTCTGTTGAGGGAGAAAATCTCCACCTGCCCATGAGAGTCATCACCCCTACTAGCCACCTGCACAGTCGAAGAGACAACAAAAAGAAAACAAACATGAGAAAGAGGACATCCAGTGCCTCAATTCACTGAAATGGCCCTCTGAGAGGCTGCAGGCAAAAAAGCTGGAAGAAGAAAAACGTGAAAGCACAGCCATGAGATAAATGATTTATAGAACGCCTTTTGATGTGGAAGACTTGATGTTTGTTTCTAGAGCTGCCTTTCGAGAAACTTTTAATCCTGCTTCCTTCTTTCTTTTAAATGTCGATCAAGCTATTCTAACAGTGTTTTTTAGGCAGTGCTCCTGCTACCATCACTTACCTCTGCTGGAAAATCTCTGTAAGTCAAAAGAAGACTATAAGAGAAGAGTACATTTCAATGCAGGAGTTGTGATTCAGTCTGATTTGAGAGATGATTTATGGTTTGGAAAGTTTTATATTGCAAATTAAACAAGTTAGATTTCTGGGCCTGTCCTAATACTAATACTTTAGAGCAAGTGTACACAACAGAAAGTTAATTCAATTCAATTCAATAGGCTATATGCACACAGACTTTTAATGTTTAGCCAGGCAACCCAAGGGCTTCCAGTGAATTGTCTTTGCATTACAACATTGTCACGTTTAAGATCTGATTTCTTAAAAAATCTGTGATCTTCACTGCATGTTATACAATATGAAGTGGGTCTCAGATCGGACAAAAAGCACTGCATTAAATTACATTTCCCACCACCATGTCTTTAAAATATGACCGTTTATTTTACTCTAGTATTTTCAATGGAATTAGTGGTTACAACAGCCATTCATCTAATTTTACACTTGAACAACTAAATGAATGCTTAAGTCTATTTAACTGAATGTATTGTAATTAAAGTACAACATCAATGCTGTAAAAACAACCTTGTGAAATTAAAAATTTACTAATGGTAAATGAGAATATTAAACATTTCTGGAGAAGATTTGCACTTATCTAGGCCACATAACTTCTATGATAGCATGGTTTATTTGAATAAACGTGGCTTGATCTGTTTCTAGTTCACATCAAGATTCAGTTTGCAGTATTCACATTTTTTTTTTATTAAAAATTTAGAGAATAGATTGCATAACTAGACAAATACACATGTAGGTATTAGGACTAGTGCAGTAGGTGACAAGTATGAATGAGTCGTAGAATAATTCGTCCAACCTATGCATTCAAACACTGGTTCATTCAGGTTAAAAACAAATGAACATACTAATAACTACACCTGCCATATTTGCACTTCACCTCTTGTCGACATCCCTTATTTCTTCAATTTGGCTGAAATGTGAATCACTAACACTATTGTTTTGTCCAATTTTTATTTGAGTTTGAGCAGAGCTTATTTTTAATATTTTTAATACTTTGCATTTTTTATATAACAGTTTAGTAGTAATTTTTGTAACAATTCACCTAAACAGTTCATAAAAAAAACATTTGCAAATGTTTTACAAAATAAATAAAATATGCAACAATTTACCTTTGACTACCGACCTAAGTGTTATCTTTCTTGTTGTACTTACTGTACTATAAAATGTAATGAGTATTCAGAACAACGGCACTCTTGCTTGTGTGATTAAATATAAACTGAATATTGTGTATTGCTGAGGCCATAAAATTAAACTTAATATGGTGCAGCGCTTAAACCCTGCAAGGAATGATCCGTGCACTTTTTATATTGTGCCTTCGAGCAAGAGAACTATAAGTGGATAGAAAAACATCTGCTAAATGACTACTTAGTAAAATGTGATGAAACCAGCGGTGTGTGAAATTAGCATATCGTCAGTGAATTTAAACTTTGACTGTTCTCTGCTGTACTGGCCCGATGAAAGTCCTGGTCATTAGTAAACTATTGAAATGTTTATGTGGGTAATTTGTTTCCCCTCAGGTCCACCAGGGCTGAAGTGAGGAAAGTGGCCATCATCAGAGCCCTACAGAGACACACTGATGTTCCTGCACCAGTGGGAAGATTGAGTTATAAAGAAGAAAAGATGTTCTCACTGTCCAAATGTACGTACCCAGAGGTAGCCTTGAGGCAGGGATGTGCTGGCAGCAGAAAAACCAAGAAGAGCACAGTGGACTGGGTTATACAGGGCAGCCTGCAACTGCAAGAAAAAGAGAAGAGATCACTTTTGAAACTCAGCATTAAAATACGAAGCTTGGTAAGTTTAGCAAGAATTACACACACAAATTACTGTATGGAACAGTTTGTATTTGTACAAAGGTTGTGAGGTGACAAAAGGACAACACCAGTACCAGTATCACTGGGGTGAGGCTTTTTAAATTGTTAAAAAATTTTGCGCTATTTAAAGACTTTCACATTTAAATTAGTGACAACAATAGATACTCGCCCTGGTTGATGAGTCCTCAGCTTCTGAAACTACCTGTCACCTACTTACAGATAAATGATATCCGACTTTTGCTGCTGATTTGTGATGGAACATGTTTAGTTTTATGTTGTAGTGTTTTATTTTTTTCGCCAGCATAACTAAATGACAGTGGTGGTGACACGATGGGCAAGTGACTAAAGCAGTGTTGTGGCTTAATCAGGGGCGGATTTAACCAATAAGCAAGGTAAGCAGCCACTAAGGGCCTCAGGAAATTAGAGTGCCCTCTAATAAATAAATACCTAGAATTATACCAACAAATTATAAATAATACTATTTTCTTTGGTATTTTGTATGGTGAGGGTCTAAAAATATGAACTTGAATGTAATTACTACATCTGCACAAATGTGTTCCCCACCCTTAACCATGGACCAGTCCAACTGTCAAATCAGTAAAGATTCAGTTTTAAAAACGAAAGTTATTTTTATTGATTTGAAAGAAAACAAATCAAACATTTCTAAAGTTTTACAAGATGTCACAAGATGTTTCACATGTTATTATTATTTTGCATTAAGATTAAATGTAGAAAAGGAGACTAAGTGGTATAAACAAAAATAATTTAAAGTACAAAAGGTGGATTTTAGAACTTTTGGGCCCCATGGTTGGAATTGCTCAGGGCCCCCAAATCATTAAATTCACCCCTGGGCTTAATACTGTTATCACCACTATTACAGCGAGCATAATGTTTACTGAACACATACAGTGTACATACAGAACTCCCAAGATCAATCTTTCAGCCTATGCTTTTTTTAGTTAATGCATAAATTAATAAATGAACAAATATTTACTAGACTTAATAAAGCAGCTCTGTGTTTTATTGCTTTCTATAACAAAAGCTGCTTTTCCACTATCGTGCCAAACCGTTCTAAGAACACTTCGGTACGGTTACGGTTGTTTCTCCACTTGAGCCTGGAACGGCGCGGCACGATTACAAACCGTTCTCGGCCCGGAATTCTCGGCACGGTTAGACAACCGTGCTGAACTGTGCTGACAGATTCTGTGTGTTGACGTCGCGACTCGGTTGCTAAGCTACCACAGCTGGCTCAGCAGAAGCGCGCTAGTCATCAGACATCCTCAATAAACTACAGTGCATTTAATATAAAATAACGATCCAGGTCTAAACGATACAGTTTGAAAAGGGTTTTAAAACCATAGAGCAGTCTCTGGCAGAGAAGTGAATAACTCATCACATTCTAACGAAGATATTTTATTCATTAAAGTTATTATTTTATTGACTTGAATACAGACCTACTTCGCCTGCTGAATGTGAGTTTATTGCACGCAGCGCTGTATTCCACAGCACAAAACTCGCTCTGATCCGGGAGAGACATGCCAACGACTTGCGCTGCTGACTTTTTTTTCCTGCTGCGCATCGAATAAAGCGAATAAAATCACGCTTTGCATCGTCGATGTCCAAATTCCACAACAACATCACTATATCCATGGAACACGAACTTGCAGACTCTTTTAACAACGAGGAAATAATTGAAATAAAAGCCAGGACAGCTTGTTAATACCGGCGAGACCACCTGAAGGACGGCGTGTTCGTGTTGTAATGTCGGCCGTTCAAAAGACATTGCTTGAAAGCTTTACGGAGCGGCACTGTAACTGTCCAAGGTACTGTTGTATGATTTATATTATAGCATATGCACTAATAAACAAGTCAAAAGAATGAATGAATTAAATAAATATGGATTCTTAAATGTCAGTATTGTTTACTCAAAAAATATCAATACGTTTTGACAAATGTTTTATAAAAACAAAATGAGCAATTTTCATCATTTCAGCTATAGGCAATTATATGATTCAGTTATACATAAGTTATATGACATTTATGAGGCATGTAAGATGTTTCTGTGTTTTTTTTTTTTTTTTTTTGTGGTGATCTTTAATATAGCTACGCAAATATTTTCTAAAACGTCTAGCAATATTTCGCCTACAGCTTGTTAATAATGAACACAAAAATAATTATAAAAATAAAAATAAAATGATCAAAATAAAAAGATAATAAAGCAGCATTTTAGTGCTTTATATGCTTTAAATCCTGCAATATATGTGTTGTTTCATATTCGTTTTTTTCACTTGCTGCATTCGTTATTTAATGTTTGAATAGTAAAACAAATAACAACCATCGCTTAAATGGTTTCATTTTACTATCAAAATGTAGTATATTTATATCATTATCAACTTTTGATATAAATACGCAGTGTAATTTAATTAATTGTTAAAAATGAAATAATTTATGTGCTGTGTTTTTATTAGTGAAAGTGCCCGCTCACCTTTGACAAAGCCTGTCCAAAATGATATTTTTGCCACTATAATGCAAATGCACTATTATTGTTGTCTTATCATTGTTTTTTTTTCTGTTATGTTCAGAGATTTTAAATATTATTTATTTCCCCTCCAATTATTTTTAATCATCACGTTACATTTTGGTAATTTTCCCTCCAAATAAAATTTAGCCAGAGCTGCGCAACATATAAATAAATAAGGGTGCACATTTAGCACCCCTATTTGATAGAGCGGCATAACAGTGTTTAGTCACATGCTTTTGCTTTTATGAAAAATAAATAAATAAATAGTTTCGGCTCTTATTTAACTTTAATTGAACAAAGGGAGCCGTTTACATTGCGTTACCAAGGGAACTACTGATGCGTTTTGTGTAATGTTTTAAAGAGCTTTGTCGCAGCACGACAGTGGAAAATGAAACCGTATCCGTGCTGTCTGGCCCGGTTTGGCACGGAATGGAACAGTTCTGTTTAAAGAACGATTCAGCACGATAGTGGAAAAGCGGCTAAAGTCTCATTTTTCAAATTACAACAATAATTGCTACACTACTACGAGCTATTGCACCAAATACATATGAATGAACATTTCAAATCTAATCCAATCATTTATCAATATTCCAACCATGGAAAGACTGGTAGCGTTTAGTAATGTGTAAGCAATAAAGTTTCTTTATACACAGTAGTTAACATTTGAAGTGAATAAAAAAATAAATTTAAAGCTGTCCAAAGACCATAATGGGTGTTTTTTAATAGCTTTTGGGCAACTTTGATGATAATCAAAGTACTTTGGTGATGATCCACTTCAAATGTTGACTACTGTAATTTACAAAAATGTATTTTTAGATGCAAAATTGGTAAACCACTGCTTAAAGGGGACCTATGATGCAAAAATCAGTTTTATAAGGGGTTTGAACACAGTTATGTGGCAACGGTGTGTGAATATAGCCAGCATCTAATGGTAAACGATAATTATTATTATTTTTTTTATAATCACACTTGATAAAAACAGAGTGCAGAAACACGTTGACTGACATTCTTCCTTTGTATATGTTATTATTGGGGGAAAGCCACACCCATTAGTGATAATCTCTGCCGCATTAGCATAGACAGCCCTAGAATTGGAATGTCTTTATTGTCCCCAAAGGGCAATTAAGTTTACATCAATAGCAGACAGTCAACAGCAACAGGTCACACTTGACAACATAAAAGTACCAGTAAACAATAAAAAAATCATAATCAAGTTAAAAACAAACAAACAAAAAACTAATTAACATACAACTTAAAGCTTGTTAAATAACCCAACTGCAGTTGGAACAAGTTAATGCATTAATGTTGGACCTTGTCTGTCGAGAATAAGTATACCTTTTTCCTGATGGCATGATGCATAACTTTGAATAAAGTGGGAGGTTCTCAACTGCTAAAATAGACATAGCCCTCTTCATGACTCTCACCTCATACACAGAGATAACACAACTGCAAAAGTTAAAAGAGACTCAGTAAAAGAAGAATAAAATGTCCTAAGAAGAGGCCTATCCACATTAAATCCTTTCAACTTCCTCAAGTAAAGCTGGAGCCAATGGTGTAGTGGTTAGAGTGTCCACACATGGCACTCCGGTGCTCACGGCGACCCGAGTTCGATTTCCACCTCGATCCTTCCCCTTTATCTGCTCCCAACATGTTCCTGTCAATACTCTCTACTGTCCTATCCATTAAAGGTAGTAATAATAGTAGCATTAGAAATAGAGTTACGGCGAAAAATAATAAGCATCTCTCTAGCCCTGAGTGAGAAGCAGCCATCCACTATTAGTTTCTGCATCATACCTGCTGTAGATAATGTCAGCGGTAGTCTCCAAAGATTGCCTTCTTCTGAGACACTTCTTTCACATTTTCAGTTTTTCACAGAGATAACTCTAGTACTAGATGCACAGGCATTTGTAGCTCCTCCCTCTTTTGAAAAGAACACAATCTCATTTGAATTTAAAGCAACAGTTACCAAAATGACACAATTTAGATAAAAGCCTAAAAGGGATAGCTTTAAAAGAGTTATCTGTGTTGTATTTTGAGCTAAAACCTCACAAACATACTGTAGGGACATCTCTAGAAACAAAAAGGAGGCATAAAAGGAGTCACGTTTAATAAAAAGAGGGAAAAATATTAAATTTTTAAATCAATTTGCTGTTTTTCTACCATGCTGCAATATTAAAAACATTTTAAACAGTCTGTCATGTTTGTGTACTGTTGCACCCCTTTCTTTTCGGAATCCAATTTTAAACTCACTTTGTATGTCTCAGTAATTCTGCTTCTGGATAACTGTAGTGAACCATTCTGGCACAACTGCACTTTTATTCTGCATACTAACAAGAAATCAGCAAAATTTTGAGTCGGTCAACAAAAAAGTCAAGACATTATTCTGTTTACTCTCAACATAA